TATATGGCTGTGTCTCACAAGGACTGGGAACTACCGAATTCACGAATTTGATTGGCTGAAATCAATATTGAAAGCCGTCTAGATTTTCCCATCTAGACCGGCATCTAGACCGGTCTAGAAAAAAAAGGTACAAAGAATATAAAAAATTGCCATATAATAAACATCTTATTAACCGAGCTAGGTCAGTCTGTATGGGAGAATCTTGACCTCGGTCGCTGGTACAGACCTCACTGCGTTCGATCTGTACTGGCGACCTCGGTCAAGATTCTCCTATACAGACCTCCGGCTCGGTTAATAAGAACTAAAAATGAGCGCACTCTGAAATCTGGGGCGCTGATTGAGGATCTCAATTCATCAATTTTTACACCTAATTTTTTTTTTTTTTTTGCCGGTCAACCCTACTGAGACCCTTAATAATGTCTTGATGATAAAGCCACACACCTGCTGTTCACCAGTTGAACATTTTACTATTAATGAAATAGAGGGCAAAATTACTGAGTGCTGATTGGTCAATGAAGAGGGTATTTTCTTCTTAATTTTGCTTCAGAAGAGGGCAAAATTACTAGCTCATGATTGGTACTCAGGTTTCCTAGCAACAGCTTATGCTATCGGAAAGTTGTTTCTGAAGATTTTCTGTAACAATGGCGTCTCGTTTATAGATAGTTGACGAGGAATATATCGAAGAATTAAAAAACAAGGGTGAAAACGAAAACACGAGGTAAAGCCCGGAGTACTGGAAGAACGTTTTCAAAACTGAGCGGACGAATGAAAGAAACTTCCAAGCAAATTTAGAACAATACGAGAGCGATGTCCTCGACCGAACACTTGTGCAGTTTTATGCCGAGTTACGAAACGAAAACGGGGATGTAATTTTCCCCTCAATTTCATTAACAAGTAATCGCAATGGGTCCTCGTAAAATTAAGGATTAATATCAGTTGTGCTTTCAAAAGTTGCTGAATTGCCCTCGTCACTTCGCGACTCGGGCAATTTCAGCAGCTTCTGAAAACGCGTGATATCAATCCTTAATTTTACTCGGCCCCATGCGATTACCTATACTAACTCGAACTTCGAATAACAAATTTAATGACCGATCTCGAACGAACTCGAATAAATTCGAACATAGCTCCGATCAAACCTGAACGAATTACACAAAAAACAAAAGAATAATTTACGATTGCATAGCAAACGAAACGGAAACAAACCCACAAATTATCTTACAAAACATAACGTTACGTAATAACAAAAACCTACAATACGACGAAAAAGATTAAGTAAGGTTAAGGTTACTTTCCACCTTCAGAGGCCGAAAAAAATGTTTTTTTCTTTTATTGGACTAGATTAAAGTTAGACATTTTACCTAGCGTTTACAAAAAGAAAAATTTAAAGATCTCAAAAAGCGTCCGACTTATTTAGGAAAAGGTATTTTCAAATAAAAGTTAATAAATCAGGAACGTTTCATGATCTCGTAAATGGGCGAACCCCTAGGGGAATATTCGCGGCAATTTCATGTCATTTTCATATTTTGTTTACAGCGCGCACTTGACAAAATTCACGCATGGAAGTTCTCTGCAAGAGGAAAGTCTTTTTTATGGATAAAAAGCATAAATCAAAATTAGAGAGGAGTACTTGGACAAAGAAAAAGAAAAAGAGTTCCCTTTTATTTAACAAACCTTACGTGACCAGAAAAAAACAAGCGCGCGCGGAAAAATAGTCTTTGCATTTGCTCACGTCAGCAACGTACACCCATGGGCAAATAGGAACGCTAAATTGGCCAATCAGAGCGCGCGCTTGACTTTGTTACGTTATAATTGCCTTTGGAGGTTACATGACTCAGCAAAGCTCCAGAAGTTTACGAAATTAACGATTCCTTTCTGTGCTGGGGCCCATTTCTCGAAGGTCCCGGTAACTTAACCGTGACGGACCCGCAAAGCTGTTTTGTTTTCTTTTAAGATGGGGATTTCAAAAGTTTTGAAAATGATGCAATAAAACTATCAGCTAAAGAAACAAAAAGGACTTGTTTTTGGTGCCAGAACCTGCTTCCCTATACTTTAAATTTTGATTTTAAAACATGGCTTCGGGCCCGTTAAGTTACCGGGACTTTCGAGAAACGGGCCCCAGGTTTCCTTGCGGGATAGGTGCACCAGACGGGGATTTCTTTGTTTTACAATATCGTTTACATAGCATCTGACTGAACGTTCTGTAGAGGAAATTTTTTCTAAGCAGTATCGAAATATGAGGAAGACGAGAATAGATCCGGTAACATATGTGTCAAGAGTTCGACATCAGAACAGATGCTGACAGTTCCTTACAGATTTTATGAAGTGTCCAGAACAGTTACTCAGTTTAATCTTTCACTCCCAAGATCTCTTTATTGATTCTCCTTGCTGTCTGCCATACAGTTCTTATGATGTTAGTTTGGTGAATTTTGTTTTGGATCAACCTAAGATCCCCTAATTGATACTTTTCTCTATTCTCATCTCTTGTCTTCTTGATATTGTATTGATATTGCAAGGAGAAATTCTGTCTTGGTCGCTCATGGGAGTTTAAGGGTTAAAGGTTTTTCAAACTGTTTTTTGTGGCTAATGCCACCCATAGGAAGCCAATAGTCCATTTTACAGTTGTGTGCTTGGTTGCCAAGCCTTTGAATGGGAGTGAGGCTAGGGGTGACCTTGTTATGATACAAACCTTGCTGCCTTTCAAATGTAAATCACTTTGTTATCATGCTAAGTAGATACAGGTCTCTATCACAACAAGGTCACCTTCAGCCTCACTCTGAATCAAACAACTGTAAAATGGCCAATTCAACCTGTTACTTAAGTTGTCAACACATGTCATCATCTCTATTGAGCCAGACAAACCTTAATGATTTCTTTCATTTCAGGGCTTTTCACGTCCTCTTCAGTAATGACAAAATTAGCTCCAAGGTTTTTAAGATGATTTTTCAGCTCCTCCACATTTGGTCTGTAATGCAAAAATTGATGTTAAACATTGACCACAATTCAAAGGAGTAACATTTAATGTTANATATATCTTATTAACCAAGCGCGAGGGCCGTACTGGGAGAATATCGGCCCGAGGTCTTGACAGTACGGACCGAGCGCAGCGAGGTCCGTACAAAAAAGACCGAGGGCCGATATTCTTCCAGTACGGTCCCGAGCAAGCTTGGTTAATAAGAGATTTATTATACGACTGAAGTTCAAAGGGACACAAGTGCGGTATCATTCGGGACCATTCGGGACAGTGCCCGGTCCAATACTGAGAGAATATTGACCGGCAATAGAGCATTTTGATTGGTTGATTTTAGTTATTGGCCCTCTGACTGCCCGAGTCGTGTAATAATTATTGTTTTTTCGAAGTATCTCAGTGGCTCGACATGCGCACTCGAGATTATTGGGCGCAGCATAAACCAAAGAAAGAAGAAGGCCTTTGCAACAAATAATTTTTTGTGTTTTAACCACAACCAAAACATTTTTATAAACAAACAAACACTGAGAATTAAAGAGTATTGGCATAAAACCAATTCTGAAATGTCTAATATAACTTGCTTTTAGTGTGTGACATTGGCTACCCCATGGGGTCTATCAACCTCTTAATAATCCAGGAGGGTTGAGGAATCAGTTGTGCAAAGCCACTTTGGAATATTCGAAGGCAATCTCAAGAACTTTCATTTCCCGGATCATGTAGTAGTCACTCCTTTTAGATAAATTTGTTTGTTTATTGACAGAATGTATATCGCTTTGACAGTCATCCAAGTTCTGAGTTTGCTGTTTCTCGTGGACCGTTCTTTGCCTTCAACGATGAAACGAAAAAAGACTAAAGTCCTTATCCTTGGCGCCGGACTCTCTGGAATTAGAGCAGCGAAGACGCTATTGGACAGAAACATCACCGACATTCTAATTCTCGAAGGGGAGAGCTACACTGGAGGTAGAATACATGCCTTGAAATTTGCGGACTACACGGTTGAAGCGGGTGCGAACTGGATTCACTTGGTAGATGATGATGAAACCAAACCTCTAGTACAACGGAAGGAGGCAGGAAATATTCGTGCAATTACTTGTAACTACTCAGACATTATTGTGAGGTGAGACTAGTTGGTGTTGCCAGTATTACATTATATACTCTCGATGAAAAAGAAATTGAGCGTGACGCTCGCAGTATGGGAACCAATTTGGTCTTTTTGATAAACTCTCTTGGAATAGGGGCTATCCATATTGACGTCGTATATCGCTGCCTTTTCTATGGAAACTGTCTCTTATCATGAATTTTTCAGGGATGATGAAGGCAAAGATATCACTGATTTTGCAGTTCTTAAGGAGTTTAATGATAAAGTGGAACACAAAATTGAAGGTTACCAAAATGAAAGGAAGATGAAGAAATTTTCGGCCGACATGCCAGCGCGTGTTGGTTTTCAGCTGATGGGATGGAAAGGAAAACGACCCGTGGAAAGAGCTATCGAATATCTGAATGTGGATTTCGAATACGCCAAACCACCCGAAGAGTTTTCTTTCTACAACTTGTTTGAGCGTGGAAAGGATTTTTTCGTTACTGACGAGCGCGGACTGTGGGCCTTGTATGAAGACCTCTACAAGCCTCTGCAAAAAAACACTTTATTGGGAAAGACGGTGACAAAAATCACGTTGAACCCAGATTCAGTTGAAGCTCAAACCTCCGATGGTTGGAGTTACCAGGCAGATTACGCTCTGTGTACATTCAGCTCCGGTGTTCTAGCCAGCGGCTTGGTTACTTTCGAGCCAGCCCTTCCAGATTGGAAAAAGGAGGCCATTTACAAAAACCCTTTATCTTTATACACCAAAATTTATCTGAAATTTCCAAAAAAATTCAGGGATGACCACGAATATATTCTGTACGCTTCTAACCAGCGCGGGCGTTTCCCTGTGTGGCAGGACCTGTTAAGACCCGGGATTTATCCCGTTTCGAGCGGGATACTACTGATCACCGTAACAGGGGCTGAAGGACGAAGGATTGAGGGGCAATCGTTTAATGAAACAAAGGAAGAGATCATGGGAATGTTGAAAGAGATCTATGGGAATGGCATCCCTGAAGCGACAGGTAAATTTCCATAGTCCTGCCTTGCAGGGCTCCTCAGGTGTAATCAGAAATCAACATATCTTACTGTTGATTATAAACTTGTCCTAAAAAAATGTCTTCAGGTTGAAGGATAGGCGAACGATAGTGTCGGGTACTTGTCCCTACAGAAAGACAATAAACTAAGACACGATCTTGTGGCCTTTTAAATCTTCAATTATCACTAAACCAGACTCAAAACAAATAACGAAGACAAACCAATTGCAAGGCTCCCAAAGATAATTAGATTCTGGCTAGTTTCATGCGCTGGAAAAAGTTCTTTACCATCAGAGTTTGTGGGTCTTCCACAACAAAAGTTAGTCATTAGTCATTTATTTTATTATATTTTTCACGGCATATCCGCGTGAACTGCTGGGGGCTTGATCAGCCTCATCAACCCGAGCTGAAATAGAGTTACTTGCTTATTAAACATATTGCAAGTTTTCTCTTTAACATGAATTTAAAATATTTTTCTCAGATATTTACTATCGCCGCTGGTCAAAGGAACCGCTTATGCAGGGGGCATATTCAGAACCAGTAGTAGGTATGACTTCAGAGGACTGGGAGAACATTGGAAAAAACCTGGGGCGACTGTACTTTGCTGGCGAAGCGACGAGCGAAGAGTGGTACGGCTACATGCAGGGAGCTTACCTGACCGGAGACCAGAATGGCAAGATGATCGCTGAAAAAATTTCTCCAAGTGAACCTTCCAGCAAGCCAGAAAAACGGATGAGTGAGGCAACGCTCGCCAACGTGTCCACAATGGGAATATTGTTGCTCCAGTTGCTCCCTCTTTCGTTAATACCCATGTGGAATTAAACGATTAACTTTTATTAGCCCTGATAGCCTGAGATCAGCCCTTACTGAGTGAATCAGTATAGCATTAACTTTAATGAAACATTCGTGTTGCATAGAGGACCTATTAGATGTAGTAGTGTGTCCTGTAATAGATCATAAGTAAGGAACTAATCTAAATGCGTGTATAACTCAGCTTATCATATGAATGTTGTAAAAGTCAGGTGCTTTCCTATTCCATCGTAAAGGTTCATTTTTACAAACTCCTTCCTATTAAAAATTTTGTGATAAACTCCCCCTATGATGTATTTGAAAGGGTCGATTTATCGTAATCTGGCTCCCATAATTCATCTGGGTCCATACCGAAGGAAGACCAGAAGAAATTCCAGCGCCAAACTTGAAGACAAAGCTCTCTCGACTTAATCACTTCTCAAAATAGATATTTTCCGTGGAAAAATATCCGAACTTTGAAAACTACTAGACTACTAGTCTCTGAGAAATTCTATTGTTATATCTATCGCTTTCATTGAACAAAGACTGTATGCATAATTAATTTGTGGGGTTCTAAGGAAATCTTGCCGAAACCTTGAAAGATCGAGACGCTTCAGACTAAAGTAAGTAAATTTTGTTTTAGCCTTATCTAAACCTCCCATCTCCTGCAACGGATTCAAATGCTTATACAGATTTTCCGGCATACAGATGCTTGCGGATCTTGGGATCATTGTGCTGATATATGTTAAAAACACCGAGGCGTAGATTAACAAACGTTTGAGCGTGTAGGGCTATCACTTCTTAGGTCTTCTCTGAGAACTGAAGTTGCCTTAAGTCGCCTCAAGTCGCCTTAAGTCGCCAAAAGTCGCCTTAAATCGCCTCAAGTCGCAATGTTTTTTCTGCCAATTCGCTTAAGTCGCCTTAAGTCGCCTAAAGTTGCCTTAAATCGCCTCAAGTCGGAAAGTTTTTTCTGCCAATTCGCTTAAGTCGCCTTAAGTCGCCTTAAATCGCCCAAAGTCGCCCAAGGTTACGGCGACTTATGGCCCCAGAGTAGGCCTACTTCTTGTTTATCACTAAATTGTTATAGCGAGAATCTAAGTCGACCAATATCGCTGGCTTAGGTGAATTCTAGAGTCAGTAATGTTATAGTATAAATAAGATTGAGGTAAATAAGTCTCAGTGACATAAGGCGGTCAGTTCGTCCAATGAGAAACTCAGCTGCTGAATCACAACCGCTACGGCTGAGACTTTTGTGAGTACGGTGAAAAAAAGGTCGAAGCATTAAAAACTAACCCACTGTTTTTGAATTCTTAGGCTATGAGAGGAAACTTTTCTGAGATCAACTAAAGTTCGACATCACAGTTGGACCATGACGAAGATCATGACATAGTAAACAATACTTTTGGGGTGTTTGCGCTTTTAAGCTATAAAAAGGCCCACAGGAAGTTTCTCATGGACTTACGAATCAGCCTTACTTTTCCGAAAGTATGATACGAGTTTTATCGAAGAACTGAGTGGTTTGAAATACATTTGAATTTGTTTTTGTTTCGGTTCGGTGCATGGAGTACTCGTTCGCTTCATCACGCTCGAGAGAGCTTTTCAAAAAGCTTTAAAATGCCTCATGGCGATGGAAAAATGACTCTCTGAAAAAATGATCCTCTCCAGCGGGGAAAAATCTCGGAAATTTTGCGTGCTATGCAAGACTTTTTCCTCCTTCGGTTTTTCGTTTTATTTAAACAATAGAGTGTTTCTGTTGAGGAACTATCGGCTGATAGTTGCCCCGCGGAAATTTGATGTTCTTAAAACAAATATGCTAGTTTTAAGAACATCAAATTTCCAAGGGACAACTATCAGACCGATAGTTCCGAGACATAAACACTTTATTGTTTTTATTGGTCACCACTAAATTTTCTTCCGCGCCTACAGCTTGTCACAAATGTCAATAATTCGCAACCGTACATTGGCTAAATAATACGTTATACCTGTCAGAATTGAAAAGTCACCGTGACTGTTTTTCCGATCTGCCTAACTTCACGGCCCTCAAACTATTCAAAACTTTTCACAGATGAGTACTATCAATCCAGGTATTTTCCGCGGACGGGCACTATCCATCCGGGTATTTACCGCGGGCGGGCACAATGGGCTGATAGTGTCTCTCCACGGATGAACACTATCGCGTCACGAGATCGATTTAAACCAATAAGAACCGGAGGAAATTTTATGGTGAACTATAATTGAAAATAGAGTAATTCGAGACAAGAATTGCATTCTGTTAAGGCAATATTCTCTGTTATTATTTGTACCAATTCTGATATATATTTTTTTTTACTGGGTAGATATTACGATCAAAAAGTGTTTGGAATTCTCTCCTGATCATGAGCTTGTTTGTTCATTTACAGAATGTACGTCACGATTAAGATCATTCTGTTTCTGACTTTGCTGTTTCTGGTGGACAGATCTTTGTCTTCGCCAATAAAACAGAACAAAACTAAAGTCCTTATTCTTGGCGCGGGACTCGCTGGAATTAGAGCAGCTAAAACCCTATTGGACAGAAATATCACCGACATTCTGATTCTGGAAGGGAAGAATTACACTGGGGGTAGAATACATGCCATGAAATTTACGAATTACACGATTGAAGCGGGGGCGAACTGGATTCATTTTGTGAATGAAGATGACACCAAACCATTTCTGGAACGAAAGGAAGCGAGAAGTGTCCGTGTGCACACATATAATTATTCAAACATAATTATGAGGTGAGATAGGTTGCTTTTAATCGGATGATGCTGAACAGTTTTGCTTGTTGAGAAAGATGTTCAATGGTGGATCTTGAACTTGAGCTAAGGCGGGTGGGGGTAGAGGGGTGGGTGGTTTTGTGCGTGTGTGTGTGTGTGTGTGTGTGTGTGTGTGTGTATGTGTGTGTGTACCTGCCGGCTTTTCTTCCCTCTGCGTTTATCTTTTTCCCCCAAAATAAGTGGGGGAAAAAGATAAACGGGCGCCTCTCCTAGATCTGTTACTGATGTTGTTCGTCTTGTCGCGAGCGTGAGACAACGAAAAAATTCTGAGTCCCCATCTTTTACTATTTGTTTACCGAGCTAAACAATTTACCATCTTTCTTATCTAGTTTTGGTTGTGAACAAATACAAAGATGAGCTTGAAATTACTGAAAAAGGACAACATATTGATTTCAAATATTGCGAACTTGACTCTCCAGGTACAGGATTTTACACTGCTTTTGAAAAAAAAACTAGCCTAAAACGAAAACCAGCTACGCCCTTAAGCCAAAATTTGTCCACTCTATCAAAGGGAACTATGGAGTCGTCTGCTTATCCTACTAAGATTTAAATCAAAGGCTTGATCGCCCCGATTTCTTTACCAATTACATGCGCCCAAGACTGGAGATATCGACCAGGACTTAGCTGTTTTCCCTCCCCTCCCCTGCGCGAATGAAAACAGATAATCTGAACCATGGACTTAACGATAATCAAACTAAGAGACAGAGCTAATCATGCATGACTCTCGCCGGCAACATTAAAGAAAGACGGTACACACTAAACAATTAAAACAACGCTAAGCAAACCAGCAAACTAACTAACCACTGAAGTAGCTACAAAACTAATCAATTAAAATATCCAGATTTTTCTAGTTTACAGCTTAAATTGCCCAGAGAATGATCGTTATTTCATATTACGCCAAACATTTTGCTAGCACAATGTGTATGAGCCTCTTAGTGACTCACTGCAACATTTTTTTCTCGTGGAGACTATTATACAGAGAGAGCCGAAGTTTGTGAAAGCAATTAGTTATACTTTAAACTCTAAACCATCCCTTTTCATGACTTTTGTAGGGACGAAGATGGCAAAGATGTTACTGATTTTGCTGTTGTTCGTGAGTTTGATGACAAAGTGCATAATAAAATTGAAGAATTCCAAGAAGAAAGACGAACAAAGAACTTTCCTGACATGCCAGCGCGCGTTGGTCTTCAGCTGATGGGATGGAAAGGAAAGCGACCCATAGAAAGAGCCATTGAATATTTTGAGCTGGACTATGAGTTCGCAAAACCCCCAGAAGAAGTTTCTTTCTACAGTTTGTTTGTTAGTGGGGAAGAGTTCTTGGTGCCTGACGAACGAGGAGTATGGTCCATGTTTGAAGATCTTTCCAAGCCACTGGAAAAGAAGACTATGTTGGGCAAAACTGTAACAAAAATCAAACTGAACCCAGACTCGATTGAAGCTCAAACCTCCGATGGTTGGAGTTACATGGCAGATTAAGCTCTGTGTACGTTCAGCTCTGGAGTTCTGGCGAAGGACTTGGTTACCTTGGAGCCAGCTCTTCCAGATTGGAAAAAAGAGGCCATTTACAAAATCCCATTATCGACATACACTAAAATTTATCTTAAATTTCCAAAGAAGTTCTGGGATGATAACGAATATATTCTGTACGTTTCCAAAGACCTTGGGCGTTTTCCTGTGTGGCAGGACTTGTCAAGACCCGGGATAAATTCTGTCAACAGCGGAATGTTAGAAATCACGGTTACTGGAGCTGAGGGACGGAGGATTGAGGGGCAATCATTTAATGAAACAAAAGCAGAGATCATGGAAATACTGCGGAAGGTTTATGGAGAGGGTATCCCTGAAGCTACGGGTAAGGGCTAAACCCTGTGATCATTCAACACCAGACTTAAGGGTACCGCATGTTTCTATTTACGACCAGGATTTGCTTCAATAAAACCTGAGAGGTTAAGTTAATCATTTTAACCCTAAGAGTGACCCAACCTCATTCCCAGGGTCTCTCATCTTCCCGCTCCTCTCCTCGCTCGCTTGAGGGGGCGGGAAGATGAGAGACCCTGGGAACGAGGTTGAGAGTGACCAGCATCTAATTTCTCCTTACAGTAATTCTGCTGAAGCATTCATCAAAATCACGAGGATAAAGGAAATGATCACCAATCCAAGAAATTTCAATTGTTAAAAAAATATTCCTTGTGAGCACCAAAGGGAAAATCTGGAGAACAGTATGGAGAATATGCATACTGATGTTAGGATGTAGATGTTTAAAGAATTGAAGAATTAGACAAAACAAACTATATTCAATGCCTTCGCTGTTTGCTGTTGGCTAGTCCTATCAGTTGAGGCCTAGGCCAAGGCGTCTAGGATTAATCTAAACCGCCGTCAGCGCAATGGCAGGGTGGCTTAAAATATTACACAGTGATAAAACGTTTGCACAGGTGCAAATGCTGAAATCCGGTTACTTAAAGGTGAATTGTCCCACAAGTGTAAATACCACACGGGCAATTAAGTTGCGGTGTTTAAAAAGCATGTAACTTTCATGGTAAAGCTAAATCAAATTGTAAAGAAATTTTGCGTAACCACGGTGGCTCCTTTGTTTTTCTTTAATATTTTGCGCAGTTTTGGGAAACTAATACACGGCCGGACAAGGTTGATGTTCTTGCGTATGCTCGACGTTTTGCCGCTGCGTATTTACACGTTATTTTCTCCAGATATATACTATCACCGCTGGTCAAAGGAACCGCTTACGCAAGGTGCATTTTCAGATCCAGT